TGGACGTGAGCATTGCTAGTATAGGGCGTGACTACTGCTGGTATATAAACACCTTAACCGATCGAAAAGGTGTTAACCTACTCAGCAAAGATGTCACGCTAAGGCAGATGGACGTGAGCATTGCTAGTATAGGGGCGTGACCACTGCTGGTATAGGAACACCTTAACCGATTGAAAAGGCATTAACCTACCCAGCAATGACATCACCGAAAGATAAATGAAGGTGATCACCGCCGCTAGGATACAAAGATCACAAATAAATAAGTGATCATCCAAAGCAGAAGTGACGCCACTATAAAGAATGATCACAAGACTCAACTACTAAATTTTGGATTGGTCTATAGACTCTATCACAAAATCTAAGTGTTGGTCTTATATAGAGCAACTTCATCAAGGTAAATTGGGATTTTTGACCCCTTTCAATAACCACTCTGGATTTTTGACCCTTTTTTTTTACTTATTCATGACCCCTTCACCTCAGATTTCTGACCCCTCCCCTTATTTTATCATGTAAATTGACTAAATTGCCCTCATTTCATAATAAATGCATTTATGATATAATAAATTTCCAACCAACCCACCAACCACCAACTTAACAATTCTCACTTTGTTTTTTCAAGTCCAAATCACCACACACACGCAAGTCACGTTTTTTTTCCAATACTCAAGATTTTCTCCACGTGATTGTTGGCCCACATTATCCAATCGATCGGTCCCCACATAATTCGTTATCTCGAATCCATTGTTTTCACAATATAGGTATGTCCATTTTATCATTTTAGAATATTGTACTTCTTCAAACTTGTAATGATACGAAATTTTATCATTTTTCTAGAAAAAAACATTATTTTACGGAAAACAGAAATGAAGTCTAGAATTTATCTTGGACCGGGATTGGTACCGGGATAAAATTTAGAACCGGGTTTGAGACCGAGATAGAAGGTAAACTCAAGCCCGGTCCTTCATGTCCAGATACGACCGGGACCGGGACCGAGATGGGGATAAACTGGGGTAGACCGGGATAGGGATTGGGACCGAGATAGGGACTGGGACCGGGATCGGGATAGGGACCGAGTCCATGCAATATAAATCTTGAATTTTTCTTGTTTGTTTGTAAATTTATTGATTTGTATTTAATT